ATTTGTTTGGTGTGCCAAGATATCACAGCCCAGTAGGTGTGTTCAGCTCAGCTAGCTGGGCATGTTATATAGCTATGGCTGCAAGAATCCACTGTTTGTACTACTGTGAGAATGGGCAGGATTATGGAATAGGTGGACTTATTCATTAATGGGTATCAATTGTCAGTCTATGGTTGGCTTGGTTGCTCACATAGTATACTATGTGAAATCTCCAAATGTATTAAATAAACTCTGGTAAATGTTATTGCACTATAGTCTTTCAAGTTTTATGTCAACTGTGCTATTATGGCCTTGTGTAATCTAACCTTTATTCTCTGATAGGTGTTGTTGTCCATGGTCTAATGCTTGTAGGGTAAGGACTGCACAAGAAGAGGACACTGTAGCCATTGTTGGTATAAAGAATGAGAACAAAGATGATACAAGTGATGAGGCTGAAGATGAGTGAGTGTTTTATCCTTAACTCATACTTGTATTATCTCTTCCTCAAACTTTCCTTTCTCTCTTTCTATAGTGAAAATGAGTCACTGATAAAAGATATAGACATCCTTGAGTCTAGTGTGTCAGCTAAATTTGACAAATATATCATGAAACAATCTTTTTATGACAGCATTATAAGATTTACATACATTCCAGTATATTTTATGTCTATTTTAAAATAATATCATTATATCTATTATAAATGGCCTCACTACATGCTTAAGAAGTGTGCCAGCTGCTTAAAGAGATCTGTCTTTAGTTTTCCATGAGGGACTGCATGTGCATGGACCTAGCTGCAACAAGTACGCACTGTAGTAAAGGATCTGATGCTCCCTTGGCTTGGACACGATTGACTAGATTATGATTCACTCATGTCAGTCAAAGACTGCTCAAAAATATCATTAACAAACCCTTAAATACATTTTTTATATCCACAATATTAACTGATAATAACTACTAATTATGTAATAATAATAGTAATAATAATAAAAGTAATAATAACAACAATAACAATAATAATAATAACAAGAACTTATGCATCAGAGGTTCTCGTTCTCATTGGAAAGGGATAGGAACAGATGATGGATTGGGTATAAATCCACTATTTATTGGGTATGCAGCTACATAAACAAATCTATCCTCACTTACACCTAACATATTTTACCCATTGTGTACTTTGTATCACTTAAATTACTTTATTTTTATTTTATTTTATTTTGCCTCAACTCTATCTCTTTCTCTCATTACTAACTGAAATTGTAATTTATTGTATAATAATAATAATAATAATAATAATAATAATAATAATAATAATAATAATAATAATAATAATAATAATAATAATAATAATAACAAGATAATAATAATGATAAGAATAATAGAATAATGATAATAATAAAATAATAATAATAACGATCGTACTAATAATAACAATAATACAAATCATATTATCACACGCA